TTCTCGCCTTGAAATCTTACGATCACGTGTTGCACAAGAAAAATTTACTAAGTACAACATCGGAGGGGGACATGTCCTTAACTAATATTCATATATTTTATCACTGCGATTGTATCTAATTTGAAATAATTAATAAAGCACTATTTACTTTTTGAACTATAAGCTATCTACAATTCGTGTGGGCTATATGACAGTACTTCGAAAGACACAAAATGTGTTCTACAAAGTCGAGATTTAAGAACACGTGATCTCAAATTTTGAACGCGTGCTTTTACAACTTCTACATATTAATATGCTCCCCTTCAGGCTTTCATACACCACTCCAGCCACGTTCTCTCGGCTCCCACGACGTCACTCAGCTAGCTCACCATTACACGAAACAGACGCAAACTCGAGAAGATAGTACGTCGGCGGTCGTTTATCGAAAGCCGTTAACCGAAACCTCTGTTTTCCTAGCAGAGGTCCAAGTAAAGGAAATAGTAATGTAAAACTGTCTATCGCGACGCCCCTCTCAACGCCTAGGAAGATTGTCACGAGATACATTAAAGGCATTACACCTCAAACCAGAATTCCGCTTGAAGCAAATGCACAATAATTTCGAGGAATGGATAAAAATGGCCACTGGTAATGTAAACATCAAAGACTGCACAAATTGATAGGAGGAATAGTGTTCGAACAATTGGATACATTTTAATTTTTCAATGCCCGTCCGTGCTATCAAGTACAGTCTATCACTAATTGTAACTTTCACCTCCCTTGCAATGCTGCATTGAAAACAGAAACTCAACCGTTCAAACAGCTGGGAACTCGCTTTGACGTGTTACTTTCCCCAGATGAACTTTCTAAAGACAGAGATACGACCAACTTTCAAAAGACTTCATGTACCACTAGATGGATGTGTAAAGATATATATACTTTGCGTGTAGATTCGGTTGCAACCGAGACCGAAAGACCGCTCGGTGGGCTTGCTGACAGTACATGTCATGTGAGTTTTGTTTTCAAAGATGGAAGAGGAAAGTGGGGAGAGGGGCATGTCGCGAATGTGAAGACATAAGTAGGAATAAATTGGCGTTATGATAAAAACCTTTAAATTGTGTCATGTGATTAATGAGCCTGTTTATACTATCAAAGAGAATAGATTACGAGAGAAAGGAAGACTCTAACCAAACAGAGGAATCCGAAGATCAAGATCCTCAAACGAAACAAAGACGCAAAAAGGTATGAACTCCATTTCATCTCCCTTTGATACTGCTATGTATCCAAACTCTAACCACATATTCATTCCGACTGAAATCCTCGTACAGAACAGACACTAGCAAAAGATCCATCTGCCATATGCGTCAAAGACTGGGATCTCGAACGTCAAGTTGATTCCCTGTGGAAAAAGATGGCAGTTGATGCCGAGAGAAGGATTGTGTTTGATACGAGTGAAGCGGTTGTTGGTGATGGCAGCGAGAGTGCCGGTATCGAGATGGATATGACGAAACTTGTGTGTGAGTTTCATATCTACACATAATGGAGTTTTTGCGAGTTATATTGATGTAGATTTTTAATGCTCTTTTTTATGCTGTTCACAAATATACTTTAGTATAATTCGTGCCGACCGTCTCAGCCAAGGATATCTGTTCGTCGTTAAAGTCATTCAACCCCACCCACCCTTCATCCACGTTTGACACTTCCAATCTTCCGTCCCATTTCCCTGCTTGCCTTCGGCCCCACAATTCAACATGTCCGCACCACTGATGAAATTGACGCAATGATGAACGCTGACATACTAGACGACGCATTTAACGATGGTCTCGAAAATTCCTTTATTGTAACAGAAACAGATACATTGCCACCTTCCCACCTCACCTCAACTTCAACGTCTAATAACAGAATCGACCAGGATTTACTGAAAGAGATATCATAATAGGCATGGGAATAGCCCTTTGACGACATGTTTACATCTGGCATTTGGGCTGTACCTGAGGCGTTGGAAGATCCGACCAGGTGGGATAGGGCGTGGTGTAGTGTAATAGTGAAGATGTGAATGGTAACTCTAATGACGCGGATGACGAAATGAGCAAGAAGGCAGACAACGGAGAAAACGCCCAAGAACGGATCCCTTTTCGTGGTTTTCGCAGTGATACTATGGACGGAAATAGGCTATTAGTTCCGGCTACTACGTCGATTAGTCTACTCAATTTGTGGAGAAAAATGGGCATGGTATTTATTACCCGATGGGATACTTTAACTCGAAGCAGCGTATCTTTGGATGCACATACTAATAATCACTCGAAAGATAAACGATTGACAAATGTCACGATGCTCTTTCGAGTAATTCGACTTACACCCAGTGCCAGCTACTTTGGATACAAACCACTCAACAGAAACCTAGTAAGAATCTTACCTCGTCTTCAAAGGCACTTTCTTTTGTGACGGGAGGAGTCCACAGAGAATGACGAAGAAAATGAACCGCGTCGATGCGGGCCTTTTTCAGTGTAACTCCTGGTCTTAACTTTTCCCCGCGTCATGACGAAGAATAGGAAAATCAAAAAAAAAAAAAAAAAAAAAAAAAAAGACTCAGTTCCAATCAGGTTAAAATATCGTATGTATAAATTAACGACGACGATTCTCAAAAACTTTGCTTACCTCTTATCTCAATGAATAAAGTAATCGACAGGCCCGTGATTGTATTCGTATTCTTAACATTAATAAATGCTTAATTGGTTGTGGTGGTAAAAGTTCAGGTTATTTCAAAAACAATTTTTCTAAATGTTTCAACAGGGGGTACCAAACTAATTGCACACTTTATTTCTAGCAATAAAAAATTTTTGATCAAGCGAACAGTCAATTTTATTTTATATTCGGAATCAATACTTTAGTATTTGTATGTCTTCCATTAACAGCGTTCATTTGGAATTGATCGAGAACAAATTGTTGGAAGAGTATTAAGACAGCCCACCAAGTGATGATATATACTTTTTCCGGAATCGTGTCCCAAATCTCTTTCAAGACTTGAAGGCTGAGAGATTGCGTTTTCGAATTTCAAAGTTTGGGGAGGCTATGGGAGAACCTCTATATTTTGAGAATGGAGAAACTCTCTGACATGTGAACTGGTGCTGAAAAATGTATATTTTTCTGGTTTGCTGGGAAAATGCTCGAGTGTGGGAACTGTGATAATAATAAGTGAAAGTCTCTTTTCATTTATGTTTCCAGTTACTAAACCAATAAGTGGAACAATGGAATTAATTTAAAAAGGAAAACCAGCCCCAACACTCTTTGTGGAGAATGTTTTACCATTATTGCAATACAATCGTGAAATTTCTCTTCTGGTTTTTCCCACACTCTTCCCAACGAGATTTTTGAGACTCATCTGTCCAAGTTCTTTTTTCTCAAGTTCTAAAGTCCAATGTCTTCTTTCTATTGCCGAAAACAAGCTGTTTGGTTTTGTTGATACTGAAGTTAAAGGTTTCTTAAGTGCATAATTAATTGTTGATATTCGTTTGTTTATTTTAGCGAAAAATGTATTAGCGATTTCTGCTAAATTTTTTCGCCTTGTTTCCTTATTTTGAGAACCGTGTCTTTCTTGGCTGTAGATCAAGCATGATTATTTTTGGAAAACTCTCCTGATTCATAAGCTGCAAGATATCTTGTAATTGTTCAATGACATCCAACAATTGGCCTAATTTTTGGCTGCAAGCATGCTTTCTTTTTGTGCAAAGGTTAATTCTATACCAAGACCTATTACGTCGAAAAATCGAAAATTATAGAGATTTTTAAAACAGCTTTTTACAATTCGTATTAACCAAAACAATAAACAACCACCCATTTAAGTAATATATGGTATAAGAGTCAGATGGGCGGTTCCACACTAACAATTACAATGCTGTTAAAATGACCATGCAATACTTTTGGTCCTCCAGTATATCTACATATATGTGTGTGACTATTTATCTTGTAAAGATCAATCTATTAATTATGCGTGCGAGTAAAGTATAAGTTGTTAACTATTAAAATAATTTTTATTTACGTCACTATGCATTTACTATTGGTTGAGTTGACAGTCAACCCCCCTTTACTGCACAGATAACATGTTACCGATATGTGTACCATTCAACACGAGAATACGCGTCTATTTATAAATATATATTCTCCATTATGTATGTATCGTCTCCTCCAAGGTATAAATACAACGTATTTAAAGTTAAATGTAAACAAGCAGTCCTTTGGCATCATTTCATATTTACGCTCAAACGTCGGTTCAATACAACTCACACATCATACATATACGCCTAAACGCTTTTCTTTATTGTCACGTATGCAAGCGTAATTCAACAAACAATTCTTTGTCGTCACACCATAATGAGGAAGAATAGATGCACATGAGATTGACTGCGATGCGCACGAACTAGTCCTCTAACGATGCATCGACCATTAAATACATGTCTAACCTACTCATACATAAAATTCGGACACTTTCCTATTGTACATTATCTCCACAACAATTCATAGAAAGAAGGGACAAGGAAATTTACACTCATTAAACGTGTCAAGTAAATGTTGTTAGACTGAGACTCTATGGATTTGATTTGTAACCAAATTAAGTACCCAAAGTTGGTCACCATCACAATACATCAAATTTTGGGTAACACTAGCCGAAAGGCCGAATAACACAAATCAGTGTGGACCAGTAATTCTTTCATGCATGAATAATAACGTGGTATTTGTACAAGTAGTACAAGTATCCTTCTCAACGAACAACATGATTAACGAGTCTGGGCAAATTATTTAACATACATAATGAACGTCAGTACTTCAGTTATAAAAGTTTTTCACTGCTTAATAGATCACGTTTTACATTACGTATACATACAATAAAGTTTTTCGCTACAAAAATTGCCAAGCGCGTTAAGCACATGATGTTTTACAGTAAGTGGAAGGTAGTGAGAGTATTTGCGTGTAGGTAATTTGGCTCCAAATGCGTTTACAGAGAAGGAAAAATTCGCTATAAGACTTTAAAAGACAATCTGAATAGCTGTGTATACAATTGCACGTTTCTTTTTTGATTCACAAAACACACAGTTTGGTTGCAAGCTGACAATCAATTCCGGGTTTATTGCTATTCTGAAAACCTTGTTTCCGATCTTGATATTGGGATTGTTAAACGTTTTGGGTTTAATGGGCTTTTTTCTATTATTAAAGCGTTCGGTACTGGCCATCAAAATGGCTGTTGAAGTAAAAAAAAAAAGAATGACTTATTTACTCCATTGTATTAACTAAATTTATACTAGTATCATATCGAAAATCTCATTTGAGAGCGTAGTCAACGAATACGAAAATTGTAATCAGCTGACGGACGAATGACTGGTATGGTATGTAGTCTGTGTTAAAAAAAACCAGCCATAACTCTATGAAAGGGCAATAATACTGTTTTAAACACAGGTATTTTTTTATTTCAATTTTTGTCAGTTCAAAACAATTTGTATTTTTAATCTTCAAAACGTTGTGTTAGCGTACACAAGCAGTCGACCGTATAAATCACAATAAGATGCAATTCGGTCGGTTCCCGTTCCACACAACTTGGAAATCAGATTCATAGTGTTCTATGAGGATAAGACAACAAAATAAAGCGTTGTACATGAGTTGCGTAAATGTTCGATACAGTGCGCAAAGTTTCGAAATAACGTTATTATTGACGCTGTAACAAAAACTGATTAAGCAAACATGAAACTCTGCACATATAATTTTCATGGGAGGCGATCATTTCGCCGACAATCATTTCACCGACAAATGTTCACCAACATTATTTCAAAATTAACCTTTTTAGGTAATAAATTGTCGGTGAAATGATACGGACCCGCAAATTCATAGTTCAACTTGCTTTTAATGTAGTATTATTTTTCTCTCTTAAATATACTGTCTTAATTCTAATTATTATCAGTTTGTCCAAGGGTGGAACTCTGCGGGGAGCAGGCACACCCTTGAAATTCTAGTTCTTAAAACATATAAACAAATGCTTGTAACCACTCCATGTTTCGCACTTGTACGATAGTTTGATACAACTCACGAATAAGTCATAGAATGACACGGTTTATTAAATCACATACTGTAATTGAGAGAATTCAATGCGCGTTTACTTGTATATTTATTCAGACGAAACTTTCTATTACGTGTAATATTAACACACGTATCGTCTTACACAAGCCCTCCCTTCAAAGCGTAAACAAGTTTATTTAATTTAATGTACGAGTATTTGGTCGCCACTCAATATTACGCACACACGACAGTTTGTTATAACTCACATATTTTAAGTCTTAAATGAGATGTTCTTAACACTCAAATAATGACACAATTTACCAACCACTTGACATACAAAAACATCACACAAGAGCAAACATTTCTTTTCCCACACTAAACGTGCGGTAAACAAGTCTGATCTCCACTATTCACGCATACCATACCGAATATAACATAATGTATTTTTTGCTGTTATCGTTGTACGTTTGCTAATTTATTCAGATAGACATCTTTCAACAAACGGATATCTTCTCATCTTTAGGAAAAATATAAACTTAATATTTATTATATAAATTAGTTAGATGATAGGGTAAATTACCAACAAATTATCAGCGAACTATTTTTATAAGAAGCACGAAATTACGTACGAATTACTCCCTCGATTTTGAAAAGCTTTTCGAGGCAATACTCGGACTGCTTTTAATTGCAAAACCTGTTATTACCTCAAAAGCGGCTTAGCTGAAGAATACGATAATGGTCTTATCAATTATCAATACAAAGTAAGTTGATAAAACCCCAATTAGATACAAGTACCCATCCGACTGAAATTCATGCAAAAAAAGATAATACCATGGATGACAGCAACAGCAGCGTTGACAGGAAGAAACTACTTATTTACTACGTAATGCTCTCTTATTCGTCATATATTGAAAGCACATTGTTATGACTTGATCCATTAAATAATCTTTCGAGATAGCAAGTTGATAGATGTTCGTATGCAATATTATGCCCGATTCTGCACCGCAGAAATATTGTCGGGTAATGTTGTGATGATGCTGATCATGATAAGCGCCGCCTGTGCACGAAGGGCATTTAAGCTTTGTGATTTCTCTTAACGTTAATAGATTATCAATAGCACGTCACCGTACCAGTCCATTCTACCCCTGTACCATCAAATTGTTCAATCTACTAACTCGATCTAATT